AAAAAGTTTCATCAAAATCGTAGGCGTCAAATTTTTTTTATGGACTCTTGAAGTTTGATGATCCGGAGTAAACTCATCGAACGAAGAGCGTATCTGATGGGGACTTTTCGCGTAGGAAGAGGCGTTCCCCGGGGTTTAAGCGCTTGGTGATTGACGTAACGTTCGTAGAAAATAGTGAGGGTGAAGGTTTAGAGGAAGAAATAGCGGAGAAGAATCGAATAGTTGAGGGGGAGAAGGTGAACGGGTGTTGGCGGATGTAATTTACGGTAGGCAGCGCTGCGGTGGCGCGGCGGTTTCTAGAACTAGTGTAGCGGTGCCCTCTTGTTCCGCGGAAGGCGGGAGGCCCGTGTGTATTGTTCTATGCGCAATCGGATACGAGTCGGATAGATTCAGCCCGGTGAATTGGCAACATTTTTCATGACATCACTTCACTTATCACTTGCTTTTTGTTATTGTTTCATCCTTTCATCATTCCCTGTTTTCATTATTTCTCCACCACTTTCCGTGCACATTCACCTCAGTATTATCTAAAGATAATCCAAGAGATTTAAACTAAATCTCATTAATTGCAATTAGACAACCAGAGTACTGTCTTCACTTTGTTGTGGATTCCAGCTTCTCACTTGTAAGTACAGACATCCTCGAGTTTGATAATTCTGAAAGTCTAAAATTAGTTCGCATTGTACATATTCGAACTTCCTCTCACAGTTCTTTAGTGCAGAAATCAGGATGCAATTATCTACAATCTTCAAATGTTTTAGACAGCGTTCCTAATTGCATAACTTGTTATTTCTGTAACTGCATACTTACAAGTAAAATTAACATCGGACGTCTTCCAATGTACCTAAACCTAAATCATGATTGACACTATTAGCTCCAGTTATGTAATCAGCATTTCTACTATGTAGAATTACTAATTCTGTAAAGTAATTGAGCATGTAGTTTGGCTTTGTGCGTTATCCTTGCCATTGACTAAAGAATTCAAGGCTTAGAACTTTCCATGCATGAGTTTTCGGTGATAATGCCATCAAATGATGGATTAGCTTTCTCAACTTAGAGAAGTATCATCAACTAAATTTACTGCTACTGTTTTCGTAGGTCATGACATTTCCATCAAGCTTTATTCACAAGTCTTAAATTTTCATTCAACCTTTTTTTTCACTCCTGTTGAATGAAAAGTTGGATTGTGTGATACTGATACCAGAACAGAGCACAGCAATCGGATGAAAAGTTGAATGGAATCTTGAATGCAACGTCATCCTCAGTGGCGTAACGGGCGCCCCCGCAGATCCTGCTATGCAGGGAGGCCCAGGCGCCTAGGGGGCCCTCGGCCGCCGGAATTTTTTTTTTTTTCTCTCTCTCTTTTTGATGCTTAGCTTTGGTTTCAAACTTTTGGGCCTTTACTTACCGAGATGGGGCTTCTTCCTCTGATTTTTATTGTTAGCACGGGGTATTTTATACTTCTTTCGGACTGTTCCTAACTTTTTGTTTGCAGGAGGGCCCCTGCCTTCCAATGTCCACTCAGTGATTACTAAACATTTTTTCTTTTTTTGTCACTTTTCGTAATTCGGGCTTTGGGAGATCCAAGAACCTAAAGGGCCCCAAGGCTCTTGGGGGCCCTTTGATTCTTGGGCCTACGCCCCTCTGTAGATCCTTGGGCCTGGGCTGGGCCCCTGCCACCCTTTAGATCCTTGATCCTTTAGGGGCCCCATTTAATCGGGTAAGGGATCCGGGACGGTAAGGGGTGAGGCATTCCAAGTCCGTGATTTGAGATGTCTCGGGCAAAAAAATGGGAAGAGGCGGGAGGGGGGAATAATTTTGGAATTTTATCGACATGGGGGGGGGAGCTAGAAAAAATTTTGCGGGGGGGGCCCAGCGGAAGTCCGTTACGCCACTGGTCATCCTCAACTTTTTGTTCAACATTTCAACCAATTGGTGGCAGATGCTGCCAGAGATACCCAAATTCTATGTGATGATATCACATGCCAACAGTAATTTATTCAAATTTCTTCTACCCTCAACTCTCCATTCAACTTTTCGTCTGCTTTTGTCAGATGTTTAGTCAATCCGCTTGAATTAAGCTCAGTGAACCAACAGCATACATTGCCTATGTGATCGATATAGACTGATGTAGTGATTTTTGTTCGTTATAATATTCAACGATTGATCGTTCAGTGGCCCAAACCAAAGCAAATAATATAAACATATTATGCTCGCACAACATGCCCAAGTTTTTTATTGAGATTGTGTTTTTCATCCTTCAAAAAATTATGGTGCTCTTTAATTCAATCACCTGTTCTGTTTCGTGTTTTTTTGGGGGGGTTGTTTCTATCTCAGAAATTCTAGGTGGCGGTAGCCACCCGGGCACAATCCTAAAAAACTCCCCCTAAAAGGTTGACAACGATGGGTGGCTGCTGCCTAACTACCTATATATACACGGAGAAACTCAATAATCTAGGTCTGATAATTTTTACATTGCTGTCACTTGAACCTTCACAAATGTCGTCATCTGAAGGCATTTTCCTCTCTAGTAATAAGACTTTCTTCCCAGGAGAGAAAGAAGAGACAATTTTTTCCTATAAATTCTGTCAGTAGTTTTAATAATGATGAGAAATGAATTACCTAGGTTTCAAATTAAGGAAAAATGAAGTCGATATTTTTTTTCCGAACCTTTAAGTTTTGCATGTGCTAAATATTTCTAGCCTATTGTTCATGGCTTGTTTTTTTGCAGGACTATTGAAAATATGGATTTCAATGCGATTTCTTTTGGAGCCACCATTTTACCAAACATCGGCGGTATGGCAGGTGGCTACTTTGTTCGTGAGAGTGTAAAAACATGGTATCCGGTAAGTTTGTTTGAAACAATATTGCTTTAACCTATAACAAAAAGAAACTGGTAAATTGAGAGTAAATGCTCAAATACACAGTTTTAATACCTAATTACATAATTTACATACGCCACGTCCCTTGACACCATGTCAGGTAGTAGTTATTTCCTCAGTACTTGACGTTAATACAGCCCTCAAGCCTTTAATCATGTTGGTCTTAAAACCTAATTTCCTTTTTTTTCAAGAATTAAGAAACTACTCTGTTGTCTCTTGTATACTGATTTATTACATTGTAAAGATATTGTATATAATTCCTTTGGAAGTTTACAAAATAAGAATCTAAAAAAAAAAAAAAAAAAAAAAAAAAAAAAAAAAAAAAAAAACCTAATTAGACTGAAATGCAGACATGCTGACCTTACAAATCTCCTGGGATCAAGTTTTTCTCCTGGTTGGTTGAATCTGTAAAGGAACCAATTTCTCAATTTTTTTTTTTTTTTAAATAGCCCTCAAAGGCTAATCCCGTCTGCTTGCAGATCAGATTGAGCCAATCCCTAGCCTACTTATTAATCTAATTTTCTATTTTTCCCTAACTATCATCTACAGGCCAGACTCCTTCCACCTGTATCATCTGGGTAGAAGTTCACCATCTCCCCAATGATCAGTTTGGAATTTATACATAGGCTAATTCACTTTTTAGATGACCCTCATCAGAGTTGAGAAACACTGAAATACTTACCGATATTCAATATATTTGATAAATTGTCAGGAAAGCTTTGTTTATGATCCCAGTGAATCAAGAAAGAAAATGTTTTCTGCAACTTGACTTCAAGAATCCACGTGATGGCTTTTTTTTTCCTCCATGGCATTATGTCACAGTCAGTATGTTTCTAATCTACTTGATTTATAACTTGTAAGCTCCTGATAGAGGGAAAAGTTGCAAGTAAATAACCCTAAAAGTAACACTCATTTCTTTATTATTACAGACTTTGAAACTTCCATCATGGCGCCCACCAAACTACTACTTTGGCCCAGTCTGGACCACTTTGTACTCTAGTATGGGTTATGCCTCCTATATTGTCTACAGAGATGGTGGTGGCTTCAGTGGTAAGTACTCTTTTAAAAGGCGGTTCATAAAATAAGTTATGTGGGNGGGGGGGGGGGGTGAGGAAAGTGTCATGCCATTCTGTCCCTAAATGTTGAAGAATAGGAACCTACGTCAAAAAAAGTGATGTAAGTGGGGTGCGGTCGAAAAATCCATACATTTAGCACTACATATTTTTGAAAGACTTCTAGATCCCTACTGCTCAATGGGTGTGTTGCAATCTTTTGTTAATGCGAGAAGAAGAATTGTTTGTTATATTGCTCGGCAGTGCCTTTTTTGTGTGCGATTTTACCATGCGCATCTTTTTCTTGTACCAAAAACTGTGGGAATCAACTGCGCAGGCCAATTCCTTCCAAGCTTATCTGTCCCATTTGCTTCTTTTGAATAAGTTTTCGTGAAGAAAAAAAGAGAGTGTGAGTCTTATCCTTTGAAATTATTAAATTACTCTTTTTTACTTTTTATCTGTTCTCTAAAATTATTTTAGTTATTTATCATGTTGACTTATGTTTCTTTCTTCCCAGGTCCAGCCAAATTGCCCTTAGCTGTCTACGGCACCCAATTAGCATTAAACTGGGCTTGGACTCCTATCTTCTTTGGTGCCCACAATCTTAAATTGGTGAGTTCTTTGAAAAGACCGGAGTTTTATTCTCATGGTTGAAAACTCTGACATTGCCCAATTTATTAAATCTGGGTACCAACACGAAGCATATCGATATCTAAACTCTGGAACCTCTTTTCTCCTTTGACATGTTTCAGAATCCCTGCTTCCATTTTATTTTTCAGAAAAAAAAATAATAGCAACCTGATCTCTTGAAATTCTTATAAGATATTCTTCTAACAGAGAGAAAAAAATAATGGATATCTCTAAGGAATAAATTGATCAGTTACTTATTCAAGAAATGAAGTAGATAATACGGGAATTGTGCAATATATCAATCAAGGTGCATGGTTCCTGAATTCAGCCATTGACTTTCTCATTTCAGTTTTCGTTACAACTGATTTTTACTGAGCAGATAGCCTTTCAATATGCAAAATTGCAGCTGCTTTTGGGTCAATATTCGCTGCAATGTTGATGGTAGTCACCATTTGATTTGTGTGACTCTGTCTTTTATCTACAAAATTTTTCTGCCATCACAATTGCAACTCTCTACAATCTTTCATCGCAGAATGTGTGATAGCTTCGAAGTGAATGCTTGAGGTGATCGATGGCAGAAAAGGGTACATCGATGGTGAAGATGCAGACATGCATATCGTCAAGCATGTTTGTGGTGTTGCTGACTTCCTGTGTTACTTATTTTTTCACAAAGAAAACTTCTTTACATCCTCTCTGGAAAATTTGAGTAATTTTCCTTCTCTACATAGAGTAATTGTGTGAAAATTTCAAGGCACAGTATTGCTCTGGTTTTCTCTTAAAAAATTAAAACAGAGCGCAGATTTTGAAACACCGTTTTGCGGTTTCACCATCGATATACCGTAGTTATGTCAATGCAGAAACCATGATATTACAGCAACCTAGATCACAAATTATGGTAAAAAAGGCAGAGTAATGTTTCAACCTTCAGCTCCTCTCTTTAATATTTTAAGCAATTTTTCTAACTTTTGGATGTCTTCTCCTAACTAGAGGTAGTTTTTTCTAGTTTTTAGGGTGGAATCTCCCATTAGAAGTTTTTTCATAAAACATAGCTGTTTCTGCTCTCAGCATTCCAAACGAGTCTTCCAAAGGACTGGATGCTATGTGCTGTTTTCCAGATTTTCCCTTGAATTTTGCCATGTTCCGGGTTACTAACTACCTCAGTGCGGTGTGGACCAGCTCTAGACAAAAACAAAGAGCTAAATTATATGAATAGGGACAAAGGATCAAACACAAGTAGAAAAATTGGTAAAGAGTAATTGTTGATCAATTGTTTTAGACCTACAAACAGGAACAAGTCTGCTATATCCATGCCGCATGCCGGTCAAGCGGGCGGCCTATCCTGTAAGGCGCGAGCTGTCTGAGGCCGCAGCCAGGTGCAAGCATCCTGTTATCTCTATTCAATATAGGCTCGATTTTCATCCATGAATGGCGTGTTCGTAGTTCGTTCTCCGTTTTCTTTTTTCCAGCCTCTTTGAGGCATAGTTTTTCCCCCTCGTCATTTTCCCAGTCATAGCAAAGTCAGTTTGAGCAAGTAATGGACAGGCTGCAAGAAGGTGAAAGCTGAGGATGAACCCAAGGCCGATAAAGATAGTTGGTCGCATTTCGAGTTGAGCTGCCATTTTAAAGGCTGTGATGCGCAGAGGGCACATGCTTTGCCATACAATCAGGATGTACCCAAAATGTACCCGATGCCGTGTGACATCAAGAGGGTATGAAATGCGACCACCATAAATCTCCTTTAAGGAATGTCAGTAGTAAAAACATATTGTTAGTTGAAGCATAGTTAATGGTGGTCTAGAAAACAGGGAAATTCAAGGAATTTACAGCAACCTGGAAAAGTCTGGAAATTCCTTGGAAGTGAATTCCTACAAATTTTGCGCATAGCAGGTCAGCTTGATTACTTCAGTAGTCAATTAAGAGAGGTCAAACAACTTCAGAGTCCTTTTTCCTTAACTTGAAACGCTCAACAATCAGTCTACTTCAGAAGAAAGAAGTTTTTCCAGCGCTTTTTCACAAGAGTCGAATCAGTCAAGTGTCCTGCTAGCAGAACTGCATTCTACCTAAATTCAGTACTGTTTCTGCCTCCATGATGCATAATGTAAAAAATATAGAAGAGTATTTGCTGTAGAAAATGCACACTTGTGAGCCCTGCAATGGTTTAATATTTACTTCATCCAAAATAAGTGGTTGAATTTGTGCATATTTTATATTTGTTTTAATCTCGGCTCGTTTATTCAATAATTTTTTCTCAAACATTATCATGAGTAAAATGTATAACTCATATTATAAACTGAACTTCATTTTGGTGTCATTTCAGGCTTTAATTGACATCGCTGCTCTATGGATTTCTGCCGCTGCTACCTCTTATCTCTTTTCCCGAGTGAATAAAACAGCTGGTTTACTCCTGCTGCCGTATCTAGCTTGGCTTACACTAGCATCAGCCTTGACGTACACAATTTATCGGGACAACAAACCAGAGATCAAAGCCGCTGATGCAAAGGCAGATTAAACTCAGGAACTTTAGAGCAAAGCCTTTTATTTCCTCACAGTATCTATTAGACAAGTATTCATGGCAGAGTGGGTAGATTTTTACCCATGCGTAATAAGCAAATTTTGGCGATTGGATGTAATTATTGGTAAGAATCGGTAATATTTGAGTTTCGTCAAAGCTGCAACAACCATTCAATGTCGAACATGAATTCATCAGGGTGTTTACTGGTCTCAAAAGTCAACTATTTTAATGATGAGTCCTAGAAGTAGCTTGAAGTCCTGAAGAAAATTCTTAAAAAATTTCGCATCTCAGTGGCTCAGTAGAATAAGTTGTTCCAAGCCAATCGCAAGATAAGTGCAAGTCAACAAATGTGAAATTCAATTGAAGCTGTATTGCTCTCTCTCTCCTCACAATAAAATTTCAGAAATCAAAAATCCACTTTCATATTTGTTAAATTGCCGACAAGAAAGGCCCAAAGAATTCCAGGTCCATTGATATCGTCCCTCTATATTTGGCCAGTGTCAAACTTACTGTGAACATTTTCAATGATGGCTCCATACCAATGAATATTGCAACTAATGCAACAAAATTGGTCCAATTGACCGGAAAAAATTAGGAGAATATGTATAATTTTTTCTTTAAAATTCTTTTGACGCTCTATTTTATCATCAAAATATGTCCCTTAGTAAGACGAGCAAATGAATGATAAGTGATTCAAGAAAAAATTCTATACCAAAAGAGGGTTCCAATTATACCTGAAAGTGAATTAACATTACTGGTTGGATCCAATTCATTTATGAATAAGCTTCATACATTTAATGATCAACATAAGGAACTTGGTCAAGAAAATTATGAAGTAGATAAGATTTTCTGTGGATGTAGGAGATAATTAATGAAAATCATCTGTGCACGGAAAAAATAAATTTGCATCGGAGACACAAGACAGATAGGTCAATTTGTGTTGCTTAACTTTTTTGCATCCCGCATCTGCTGTTTCAGGGCTGAGATGCAAACCTAGGTATGTTGCTGCCCTTAACCAGTCGGTGTGAGGCGCAAAGAAGGTGAGGTAATGCCAATTTACTTACCCATCTTGCGTTTCCCACGCAAACCGTTTTTTTATGTAATGGTTGCAACAATTATCATTTTATTTGTTAAATGTTATCTAATTGCAACGACTGAGAAAATTAAAAATCACAAAATAAATGCACAAATTCTGCATCTGATCGCAAAAATTTGCTTTTTAGCTGTAACGCTTTCTCAGCTCAATAAGTGTGCAATTATATTTAAATGTGTCACTGGCTCGGTGGAATAAGGTTTCATTTTTCCAGTGAAATTTTCTCAATCAAGCGGCTTAAAACCAACAAGTTTAAGATCGGAGCGAAGTCATCTCTAATTGAAAGCCTTTTTTGATACTTAAATTAAGATGTACACTGTTCTAGTTCCTGCCTTTCTTGATTGAGAGCTTATGATTCCTTTTTTCTGCAGCCTTTAGCATCACAGGCCTCAAAAAGTAAGTCCCCAATTTTTGGACATCCCATTTCATAGACCCAACCGTATTTGTGTCAGTTTTTTTAGCGACAGTTATTCAGTTCTGTCTCTCATGTTCCGTTATGGTTCTCTTCAATGTTTCATCCTTTATGCTTGTAATATTTCTTTTAAGGATTGGGTATCATCAAGAAACAGCGCATAAAGACCTTTTTTTTTAATTTTTTATTCACAAGTTGAAAGAATCCCTTAATTTATCGTAGTTTTTATCATCTTTCTCACTTAAGTACACAATGTTTTAGATCCGTAAATAACAAATTTAGCTTTAGTTTTGTCAAAGAGGCTTATGAAACAACTGAACAATATCCTCAGATGTCATTGACTTGACCATGAGTCGCTACCTCCTGTATGATCAGGAAACATCTTAAAGTTGAATATGTACCTTTCTTGCTTTTTAAGATATAGTATGTAAGGTGTTTGGCTTAATCATTTTTATTAATGAGCAATTTCTCATCTGTTTTAATTGTCATTCAGTCAAATAAAGTGTAAATTTCACCATCAGTATTCCTAATTTTTTTAGTACATTTACTTGCAACAGAAACCATGTGCATAAATACATTTAGGTGAGCACCTCTCTGTGTAAGAAGACCAGTAATTGATAGATCATTGTTTGAGTAGGTACACAAACAAGTTTGTTCCTTTTGATGATTAAATCCAACAATGGTTTGCAAGAGCAAACATGTGCTGATTGACAGAGGTGATGAAAACTTTGATTCCTACCAAGCATAAGAATTGTCCAAACGAGTTTGGTGAGAGTTACTTCTTGTTTTTACCAAATTAAAGCTATGAAAAATTCTTATACCGAAAGGATTTTGAGTTGGAACAGTTGAACTTTTGCCAAAGCACTATCCAATTTCAGACATCAAATTAGTTGCAAAACTCAATACAAACACAGTGAGCTCTTTTTGCTCTTGAAAAGTATATGAATTGAGGCACTGGATGCTAAAAAGGCACCACTCGATTGCAGTGTTTTAGAATTTTTGTCGCGAATTAATCCCGTAAAGAAGAATTTAATGTGTGATTTTTCCAGAATTCGTTCCTTAGAAAATTGTAGAATCATAAGGAATATTCAGAGAAATTTTTAGTGAAGTGGATGCATCCTGTTTCCTTACAATGAATGAAATATTAGAAAAGACTGATACACTGGAAGCGAGAAGTGCGTCTTCCCATTCAGTGCCTCAATTGCATCCACTTTATTCTGAATTTAAACATCTTTCAAAAGTAAGTCGATTTGCTCCTCTAACAGCGAGACCCTTTGAAGTTGAGGAGAAGAGTTCAAGCCCCCCAATACCCCATTTGCTTTATTTATACGCTGTTTTGATTTTTATAGTTTACTGAACATTTAAATAGACTGCTAGATTAAGTGAATGTTACTGAGTTTTATGTTTCCACAAGAAAATTTTTATTTTTTTATTTTTTCCATTTCTTTGTTTTGTCAAGAGTAAACAAATTGTGGAGCCTTGTTTAATTAAGCTTTCTTTGATTTTTAGTTAGTGATGGTGAAGTACGGTTCCTGAGGCAAGTAATAATAATAAGCCTTTCTTTTAATTTATCTTTTGTATACCTGAGGGTATTTTGTTTGAATGTAATTGTGCATTAAATATTTTATGATCAACCTATTTTGTTTTTACTTGAAACAAGTTATCAGCTTATCTCCCGATCATTGGCACTAGATTAATAATCAGTTTCATTCCAAAGAACTCATTTCAAAATATTTTAAGCTGGTTTCTTTTGTCGTTTTCCCCAGCACTTGTTTAATTGCTGCGCATGGCTTTAGTCCATTTTTATTAGAGCCTAAAGTATGAAGTGAGCAATTCATAGGCTGGGCCCTGGGAGAGCACTTAAAGACTTGATTTAGTGGTCTGATGACTTTAAATCAAAATTAAAATGTATCCACTGTTAAATCGGACATTTTTACATGGTTTACATGCCAATATGAAAATTAAATTGATAGTCTAATCACCAAATCACGCACCTCTATTGATGCGTTTCAAAAGTGCCTTATTTCGTTTGTTTTTTCAAAGCTCCTTTCTTTTTATTATTCATTCTAAAAGAAATAAAGTAGCCTCATAGCTTGCCAATGTTGCAGGATATTATGCTAATAGAGAAAAACACTCAAGGAAGTTTTTAAGATATTACATTCGCTAGTTTTCCAAAGAGAAAATAAAGTAAGTATGATAGGAAGTCTGCAACCTTACAAACGGGGATACATGGTTCCACTCTACGGCCATCGAAACTTTTCAGCTGCGCCATAGTCAGAAAGAATTACATTTTGTTGTAATGATGTTGGGCTTAAGTCCAAAACTGAACCTCTTCTTTTCAAGAGAATTTAATTATAATGCATCTTAGACCATGTGGACAGTTGTCTAGTGTATACCAACTTCGGTGGTTTTTAAACATAGGTTTAGACTGACCAAGGGAGGCTCAGAAGTGGCTGCCTGTGATGTTGATGCCGTTTGGAGTGAAAAAAAGTTCAAGTGCAGTTATTGATGGGTGCTTTTCAGTTTTCGGAAATGTGCCTCAAAACCCCTTAAAAAATTGTCCGTTATTAGCCCCCAAACATCATCATCTGAGGTATGAGGATCTGCTGTGTCTGAAGCAGAAGCATAACAGTACAACCCTTGCCTTTCAAATGTGAGGTAGGGAGTTTGACTCCCAACCATTCCAATTTTATTTTTTCTGTTCAATTCGAGTTATATTTTTTCTTTTATGATTCAAATAAAATAATGAGAGGTATAGATGATGAAAGGTATAAATGAACGCCGACACAATAAGAAAGTCATCATGGAAGGGAATGTTCCGGTGAGAGTTTCCGTATTGTTCGTTCATTTAAAAATTTTGTTGTTTTAATTTAATTGTGATAAAAATGATAACTCGAATGAAACGGGGAAAATATAATACGAAATTAAACTAACGACCTGAGTGCGACAAGGCAATAGCCATATCATTGCGCCACCTTTTATGATATGGTAGGGTGCAAAAATTCAATCTTAGAGTTGCAGATGATTATCAGTAGTTATTTTCAGTCAGTTTTTTTAAGAGAAAAGGGGGTGGTTGGAGGCCCATTTGCAAAAACTTAAAATACCTATCAATCAACTACCATGGATCTACTTTTCGCTGAAAACCGCATTAAAATCAAATGTGGTTACTACTGAGCCTCCCCTTGTAAGTTTCATACTTGGGCACAAGGCAAACTCCGAGTTGTACAGTTTAATGCAAGCGACTATTCCTTAAAGGAAAGATAAACCAAAATAACTGGTTTCAACCATATATTTCTACAAAGGATTAAAAAAAGTTAAGATGAAACAGTGTCCGTCAAGTTTTCTTTAATAACATAAAATAAAAAACAATTCATTTGCATTTTCAGAGATAATTTCTATGTATAAAAAGGTAGAAGTTACTTTAATTTTTCTGAAAATGTAATCTTGTATGCAGCTCACGGAGTTCAGCAACTTTCATGAGGTGGATAACAAGCATTGAGTACTTGAAGCAATTCCTCAGAGAAAGTTATGCTTTAATATAGTTTGCTTACTTAATGAAGAAACAGACAATTCTTTTTCGGGTTTTAAAGATTTCTTTCCCTTTTTTAAACGTTACCTGACCATTGATGTGATTCAGAGAAATCTATTTCAGCACTTTTTATCATCAATTTCTATGTCAAAGGTTAAAGATGCCAGAAAAACTTAACAAAAAGCTGAAAGAAATGCTTAGTTATCACATCATCGGTCAGATTCAATTAGAGGCAAATAACTTCTGAAACATAACTTGGGAAAATGGTAAATTTTACTACACTGGAAAGAGTGTAGAGAAAGTAAAAAACTCCTTGCCTGTTATAATACTGAATTATCGGCATATTAAAAGCAAAGTAACATCAACTGCAGCTTGTGGAGTTGTCCGATTCATTCTTGATCATTTCATTTGCCTGACATTTTTATGATGAGCTTTGAATAGCCTGTCTTCAGACTCTTGTATACTCAGGCAACGAGAGGCCTGCGGAGAGCCCCAACCTGAGATAAACCATTTACAGCACTAAGTACAAAAAATACAGATGGCAACATTACTTTTTCTCAGAATCGGAGTCTGAATCAGAATCACTACTGCTTGAGGAGCTGTCTTCCGACTTTTCACTCTCTCCTTCTAAGGATTTCTCAGTACTATCTGATGCTTGAACAGAGGCCTCTGATGGTTTGGAATCAGTACTATCTGATGCTTGAACAGAGGCCTCTGATGGTTTGGAATCAGTACTATCTGATGCTTGAACAGAGGCCTCTGATGGTTTGGAATCGCTATGATCCTGCACTGCTCCAGCAATTGCACCGTCAATCAGGTTCGATGATTCTGCAGGACTCGGGGGACAGGGACTGGAGTCACTTAGCTGCTTGGCATGAAGATCTAAGAGTGAGACTAAGTTTTGTTGAAGGCTTGTAGTGTTAGTCACCAGACTTTGACCTGCCGAGTTCAGGGTCGAAACAAATTGCGACCTGGCATTGGTTATGTTGCCGATGGAGGCATACCTCTCAATTTCAGCCCTGCTCAGCATCCTATTGTCGATTATTGCAGCTGAAAACAGAGGTCACTTGGTAAAGAAATGAAACATTTAGAAATACAATACTAAAATTGAAGCAAAATATTTATGAAGCCGCTGAAATATTTTCCTTTATACTTGACTATAAGCTAAAGTAACCCAGAAACAAGTTTAAATCTTTGCGCGGCTGGGCCTCCTGTTCTCCTCTCTTTGGCATCATGTGACCTCGATTCGACTGACAGGTAGAGGCTCTTTAACATCTCTGAGCCCCAAGGAACAGGTGGTCACGGAGGCCTGTTGCTTTCAGAGTATTCCGATGGAGGTTCCAATTATGTAGGACCATTGCCTTTGAGAATGGAAAGGCTGGGACTAGTCAGTTTTGTGATGTCAAACTAGTACATATTTACTAAAAACAACAATCATTTCCAGGCCATTGGAGCATTGATGGGTGAGGTAGTTGCCACATGGACCGATCAGAGTGGCCCTTGATCGGCCGGAGTTGCAAGAGCGGCACGTTTGAATCTGAGCGGAGTAACGATTAATGGTATTTAGCATACATTTTCTCAGTTATCAGACAATGTCATTTATGGACTAGTCAGATTTCTGAACTGAAATTTCATCCTTTTTAGAGAAGGTGCTTGTGAATTTTTCTATTAGATCAATCCCTGAGAGGATATCAGCACAAAAGGAACACCTGTCATGCGTTCTCTCATAAGAACATTTGTTAAACCACGAACAAGTTTCATCTATTAGGGTGACGTCACAGTAAGGGAGTTACAGCCTCTCCATTCTTGTAGACAACGGTAAGACCTGTTCGAAAGGATTGGGCTCAGGGCTTACCAAAGCAATTGCTTATGATGAAAAAAATGATTGAAAAAATAATCGAGCTACGAGCCAAAAATAAATTAAACAAATAATATTTCAAACTACATAGAGATGAGAAATAAAAAACTTACAGAAAACAGAATAAAACAAAAGTTTCGACCGCCAACAATTGTGGTCTTCTTCAGTGCAACAAGTGGAAACCTTTTGAAATATTATTTGTTTAATTTATTTTGGGCTTGTAGCTCAATTATTTTTCAAAAATTATTTGTTTAATTTATTTTTGGCTTGTAGCTTGATTATTTCTTCAATCATTTTACCATGTTCTATGAAAGCCAGCCAAATTGGCATTAAAATGTAATTGTTCTCTTGTTGTACATCGTAGTTTCCCTGACAATACACACTCTCTTACTACTTCTCAAGTCTCAGACTCATTATTTCCTAATTTTCTTCTGAAACAGTCAAAGCCTAGAGCTAGTTGGCCCCAGTACACTCAAGCTTAACTTCACAGTGGGGATGATTCATTTAAACAAAAATTGTCGACGTGGTTTGGAAATTTTCTGCTCGATAGCTATCTTGCGGCCAAATATACATGTTTTGTTAGTTGAGCAAAATCAGCTTTTCTGATGAGAATGCTGTAAAAGCGGCCTTTGTGTTAGTGTGTAGTTTCATGTGAGGGTTTGTAAGAGGTTTTGCTATCAATGGCACACCTTTCTAAAACTCTACCTGCAAAAGCCAGTGGTAAAGGCCAATACTAGAAAGAAGTCATATGTAGTCCTCTCAAAATATTACGCAGAAAAAGATTCTTAGGTATAACTGCAAATTCAGAAATCACAGAACAAATGAAAGATAGATTTCACAAATGATGTCATTCGCATTTTTGAGGTTTAAGCAATGTTAATTGTAAACATTTTTATTTTATTTAGGAATTGGTTTCTAGATGCTTCTTTGCGTAATTCCTTTTCTTCATGAAATCAGGAGAAAACAGTTTGCTAAGTGCTTTAATTCATACCTTTTCTAATGGTCCACAACTTCTACAGATAATGTTTTTCTATTTTATTCCTAAATATTAATTTTCATAGGTCAATTAGAAATTATTATTGTAGGCATCCTCCCATATCCATTCTTCCTTTTGTCCGCTCCCTGGAGTAAATTAAATTACCGTGATCCATATTTTTCTGAACTCCTAGTTGCCACTCACAATGAATTGCTTAAGCCCTGAGAATTAGAGGTAAGTACTCACTCAATAAAACTAGACCAGGCATCTTAGTAAGTAGCTTGAGAGATTCTGCCAGCTTAACTTCTGGACTGCACACAAAGCTTGAGTTATAGCCGTAGATTGGAAGAACATTTTCAAATCTGCTATCTTTCAATGCATGCCTCACCATGCTTAACCAATATTTCCTGTATTCCATTTGCTGTCTATAGAATTGAACCCTATACTGGATATGAAAGAAAATTATGCGTTAGAGGGACTGACTACAGTGGGAAGGTTGTACTAAATTTCATGCCAAATAAATAAGCCATTTTAAGTACAACACATGAAGCTTTGCCAGTAAAATTAACAGAAGTCGAGTTTTTACACTACAAGAAAAAAATATCTGTTTTCGAAATTTTGCACTTGAACGTATATATTTGAAATTATCAAGTATTACGTTTTAAAAATTGATAAGAAAATTTTAAAACAATAGAATATTATTCTATTGAAAGTTGACAGGATTAAGCCTCTGAGAGACTTGCATAGAAAGTTTTAAGAAGGAGTTAATGAAAATGAATTCGAAATTATCTGTAGTGGCAGGATTTATGCATGATCAATTGGATTGCATTTTGCAAAAAGGAACCACTAGCATTGCAATGTTGCTAAGATTGTGCAACTTCTTTTGTCTTGGAGGAAAAACTCGATTATCCCTTAATAGCTTCTATTTTACTCGCTAAAAACTGTAAATTTAATACAAAAATTACCATCTAAATTACATAGTTTTTCACAATTTCCGCAATTTTATTGCAAAGGATGAAGTTGCAGAATCTTAGCATCATTGCAATGCTAGTGGTTCCTTTTTGCAAAATGCAATCCAATTCTGAAACAAATCCTGTGCCCAAATCTTTAGAAAAATAGCTAGAAAATATAAATACAGCTTAAGCTATAAAATGAACTTGCGAAGGAACTTGACATCTGACAAAACAGTAAAATAAATTTAAAATAGGTTAAAGGACTTATTCTGCAAATTCTGAAAGAGTAACTGCAAACCTCCGCTGATTGCCAGTTTAACAACTCGTTGTAAAATACAGAGAAAATTTTCTAGTAAATACAATTTTTTTTAGTTCTATGACATTGCCCGGTATGTAGACCTTAGTTGAAAAAATAGACATCAGCAGTTTTCGCATAATCTCTCAGCTACTTTCACTTGACCATTTGTTTAGCTCAGGACTTCTGTTGCTTCTGTACACCTATCAAAATTTTATGAGCACGATCCAAAATCTTTGTGGTTCCTGCAGAGTTATTGTCGATGGCATGGTTCCTATAACCAAGCTTCCTAATCAATAGTATACATATAGTTTGGGAAAAGGATGAAAATAGTAACCAATTCACTGCGCTTGTTTTATGAAACAACTTTACAAAAACCCGAGGCTTCCCGGTCACACTGGATCATCTTCAGGGGAGATTAGGTACAGGTACCATGGTGCTACCATGGTACCATTAACCATGGTACTAAAAAGCAGAGAAAAGTGGAGATTACATAGCAGGCAACACTCATACTTTTTGTTTACGATGCTCTGCTCTTTAACACTAAGATTTTATACTTAATCTACCCTGGAGACAATCCAATGTGACTGAAAAGCTTTGGAATGCTGTAAAGTTTCTTTAAAAAAATAATAAATATGTGCAGCATATTGACGATTTTTTTCATGATTTTCTTAAACTTGTATCTTTAGTACTGAGCTAATTGCGTACAGAAAAAAATAGGAATGGGTGGCCATTTAAATTTACAAAACATTAACAATAGACAATCAGTATCCACAGTATGTGCCAATAGAATATTTAATTATTTTGTCTCCTATACATTTTTCAGTCTCTGACAACATGTTGTGTCGTTATTCCCTTTAATTTACCGCTGATATTAATAATAAAATTGTCCGGGTCATTTTTTTACTTTATTCTAGGCACTTAGCTTCAAGTTTTTTTGGCATTCTCATGAATTAAGAGGATGTTTTGATGCAAAGTAATTTAGGTTTTCTTCTTGAGAGGCAAAGCACAATTGAAAAACTTTTACTTAATAGACAGTCACTAGTAGTTTTAGTATTCCAATAGTACTCACATTATAATGCTCATCTCCTTTGATGGAATTGTGATGAAAAACTAGGATCATTTTTGCCTCATCCCACATTTTGAAAATTTTTCGGCCAATTAACACTGCAAACGGCTTATCCTGAAATAAAGCAAAAAAAATTAAGAGGAAGAATAAAAGATAAAAATAAATGGTAGAGAGCGACAGTGAAAAAAAGGAGAGAATGAAAAAGAAAATAATCATTCGGCAAAGGTTTAGTAATTCTCTGCACTGGACTGAACATATTGGTTGAACTGTTCCAGCAAAATACTTACATCATAAATAATTGAATACTGAGAATTTATTGTAAACCATCTGCGATTTGGATCTTCATACCCCAAACTTTGTTTCTTTTTTTATTCATTTTCTTTAAACAAAAATCTGTCCCCTTTTACTTTCATCAAAACAATCTGAAAATTAATGATAGGGATTTCCTTAAATCTTATGGATACCTGACATAATCTGATAGTGATTGGTACGTGAGTCTAAAAATTATCCTTGATGAATATTTGAGAAAGGATCTTTGAAAACTGCTCACATTGCAGATCTGTTAAACTTGCACCACAAATACAAGTGAGTAAAATTTGGTAAACGTGCAATAATACTATTTTGAGATCGACCATTCTTAAAAAGATAAATTATTCAACAATGTTACCCACTACTTAAATTGATGGTCTCTATGAGAATAATGCATATGTTCAGAAGTCATTTCAGTAATTGCAAACAAACATTGCAAAACAACATTGCAGGTGACAAAGCTAAAACACGATCAAAAGTTATAAAAAAATAAAATTTAGAATCTCTTCTAAAAACTGAAATGGACCTGGTAGCACCTTCCAAATAAGAGGAGAAAATTATTTATTAAGAAAAAAATCTAGATACTCATGCAAAAGAAGAAACGCCAGAACTGAACCGCTTATTTTTCAAATGATAAATGTGAAAGACAAATGATGGGGGTCAATATTGCAAATTTTCTTTGACGACAAGAATTTCTGAATTTGAAATTGCTGCCTCCGGAAGTACACATTTTTTTGTAAAGACAAGATTTGCAGCTGATTGGTTAATACAGGATTTTTTGTTTTTCTCAAAATCGTATGTGTGGCATTTACATCAATTAGAAAATGATCGGTTCATTTAAGAATAAAATGCTGAAAGCCTTAGGATATTACTTCTTTAACTTTTGGCGCCTTCTCTAGCTTAAGCCGGCATTTCATTGACTGCGGTAAAAACTCCTCTGGATTTGGAGGAAGGAGCACCCTCGATAGAATAAGATACTTCTGCCTTTCAAAGTGTGGAGTCTTAGGTTTCACAGTATTGGGCCTTCTGGATCCATGACGTTTGAGAATGTTGTTCAGTAAGTTTAAGCCAGGACTGACTACAACTGGGAAAAAATTGAAAGAGAAAGTTATTAGCGTCAATTCTCATTTATACACAGGATCAGATAAGTAATTTGTTATTCTATTAGTGGAAAACCAAGGTGACAAGGATCTCCTTAGTTTTTCTTCAATTTTTGAGCATGCCCCCATGATGAGTGTGCCAGTTTAGAATGCATTTCCATAATAAAGAGCAATATCAGTATTGATACTAAGAAACCTGTGATTCTTTTTTAAAGGATTTCTTCCTCGGACCTTTAGGGTGGCTGATAGAGTTTGGGGAAAATTTGTATACAACAAATAAAAATTCAAAATTTGAGATGTTCTGATGTGATGTTCTATAAGATCTTCTGAGCAAGATGAGCTTATACCTAAAATGGTGCTTCCTGAATGCCAATCTTGGAAAATCCGGTCTGGAAAGTGCATTTTATAGCAATTCAGCATGTGTCATGAGGAGAAAAGAGCATGTTGCTAAGTTGAAGATGCGGAGCCTTTCGTTTGGAACCGAGCCCACTACCGTGTCATCTCTCCAGCTCGGCGAGACAAAGAAAAAAGAGCTCGCTCTTCAATCACCTACAGTTTTCAACTAGATAGAGCATGAAAAGCTGCTAATAAATACACTTATCAGACCCAACTTTCTCGAGATTGGAACATAGTCGTTCCATTTTAAAATTTCATCTGAGTCAAGAGATCGTAAGAAACATAATAAAATAAATGCTAAATTTAGCCGGCGCTGACTTCATTAGTATTCTGTGCGTACTTAGTCATTCACCAACTATATTCAGATATAAAAGAATGTATTGTGACATTATTCCACTAGTCATTCGGACCATTTCATACCTACTGAAAAGGCATTTCGACGGTAACACTGCAGAAACGCGTATCTCGGTTTGGAACATTGCAGCATTCCTGTCATACTGTATTTTCTACATGGAAAACCACTGAATGTCATTTATTGAAAATTTCAGTGATTTTTCTTCTCTTCATATATATATATTGAATATTGTGTGAAAACTTCCAGCCATGATGTTGGTTCCGTCTCCTTCTAAAAAATAAAATGGTAGGAGAGATTTTGAACCACAGCAACCGAAATACGCATTTATGCAGTTTCACCGTCTATTTGTGTCATCCACAACAAATGGCCCTTGTTATAGTAGTACTAGGGTGAAAGTTTTGCCCAGAAGGTTCACTCACAGCACTTCTCTGCCAAAGAAGAATAACAGTACTTGAGAGCATTGTTTACATTTTGTCTACCGACTGGAGTCCATGGCCGTCCTCAATGATGTCAGTCCATTCTCCAACGCCTTCCTCTAACTACTCTCTCACATAAATGAATGCATTCATTAAGCAACGACGCAGAGATGCCGTAAAGTACAAAACGCTATACATTGAAGTAAATGGGAGTGAACCCTCTGTTGGCATAGCATACAATTTCTGTGCTTCGGCAGCTCTTTGAAAATCGGCATTGCAGGTAGACCGCAAGAGCCACTTGGGGTTCGTCATCAAGAACTCAACATGATTAGAGAATTTTTCTCATCGAGTTATCTTCGATTGAAAAATTACTAGAAAAGCGAAATTAGCAGGTGCAATTTCCGTGTGCACAGAGTAATTTTTTTTTACATAATTTGATCTTATAGATGAGCACCAGTTATAGGTTAGGCACATCTGAGACTACTGAGAAGAGTTAAACACCTAGGAGACTGACCTTTTCTTGAGATGAAAACCATTCTCGAAGTTGGAGGTAATGCTGCAATAGACCCAAATAACTTCTTAAGAAAAATGAACTTCTAATAATTAGAGTAGCTCACGTTTACGCTTCGCAACGTGATAAGGGATGATAAAGGAGGAGTAAAAACAACACAACACCGGTGCCCGGTGCGGGGGGAGCGGGGGTGCGGTAGATTCTAATACAAGAATACAACATAATTGTTCAAAAAGCCCCTAAAAACAAGATTTCGAGATCAATGAGATGATATTTAATTATCAAAAGGTTATATCTATTGAATTTCGATTGAAAATTGAAGAAATTTCGTACATTTATGTTTCTATGCTTAGTAAATATTATTTTTGCAAGAGTTATTAGCTGAAGAATTGATACAAGATCTGCGAATATTGACTTTGAGGATAGAGGTAACACTGTAACACGAAAACAATAATTTTTGAGGTTAGGTTCGTCTTATCGTGCAGAAACATCCAGATTCGCTCTTATCAATCCGGATTTCTCCTTTACTCGTCTCCATTTCCATAATCACGCATTAATAAACCGGTTTCAAAGCATGATGTCGCACCTACATATCCGTTTGGCTTTTGAATTCGCTGTTCTTTTTCAGATCGTTTCGATCTGCTTAAGTTTGAATTGCGTTTGAAGTGTTTATCATCTTCTGGAGGAAGCAAGTCTCTTCTCTTATCATTGTAACTGTAATACTGTTCGTGAAATCTGCCTTTATTCTATCCTGTGCCCACCACTGAATTTCCTGCCGTGAATTTCAAGCACTTTCCTCACCATGAACCAGGATGTGAACGTGATGGCTGCAGAAATCATCGAGCGCAAAGTAGAAAAAGAGTTCTCCACTATCTCGGAGACTTTTTACATGCTGACGATGCCTTGTTTCATTCTCCTTTTTCTGGAGATGCTGATAAATGTCTTGATGCTTCACAACAACCTAGATAGTCTCAAGACAACTTTAAGATTTCCATTGGAGTTTGTCTTGGAACATGGTATTCTAATCCTGCCCGTTCTCTTAGCCTCAACTGTCTACTCTAATTCTGTCGTATCAATTTTTACAACTGTTGTTTTACTTTGTTTCACATTCCTCCTATGGAATGTCTTAGATAATAAGAATAAGGCATCTATAAATGATTTGATTATTCTTCCTGTTGCCAACCAGCAAGTATACATTACCTACTTCAGGAGTATTGTCCTAATTTTTAGTGGTATGGTAATTTTAGCAGTTGATTTTAACTTTTTCCCTCACAGATTCACTAAAACAGAGACAGTTGGGTACAGTGTCATGGATGCTGGTGTAGGGCTTTTCATTGTTTCAAATGCTATCGTGTCTAGGTTCCCAAATCATGAAGAAAATATAGTTAAAGTGGCGAAAAACATCTTCCCTCTTTTAATCTTGGGCATTGGTCGGTATGTTTCTGTGATAATATGTGACTACCATGTAAATGTCAAAGAATACGGAACTCATTGGAACTTTTTTATAACTTTGGCTGTAGTCAAGTTAGCATCATTTATAATTTTTAAGTTGAGTAATTTTAAAGTGCTCAATGTATTTTTTATAAGCTCTTCTCTACTTTTAATTCACCAGTATCTTCTTAATTATGGTGTAAGAGACTGGGTATTCAGTGAAATAGAACGAGAGGACTTCATTGTCGCCAACCGAGAAGGCATTGTGTCTGCCTTGGGGTATGAAATACTTTACCTCTTCGGAATTTTGCTGAAACAATATTTTCCGCTGAAAGACCAAGCTTATTCAATTATTGACATGCTGTCAACTCTATTCCCTATGTCCATTGTCTTCATGATGCTGCACCTGTATTTTGACGGCGTGGACCCAATTTCCAGACGAGTCATTAATGCGAGCTATATCTTTTGGATTCTAATTCTAGCCTCTGCAATGTTGCTCATCTGTCTAGTGATTGAAATTTTCAATAAGATTATTTTTAACAAAGAGCTGAAGGAAAAATTCCGTATTTCTCTCTTGCTGGAAGCAGTCAATCACAACTCCTTATTTTATTTCCTAATCTGTAACTTATTCACTGGTTTTATAAACATGTCCATGGATACATCTAAAATTAATGCTCTCAATAGTTTTGTAATTGTTTTCAGCTATGTTTGCTTTGTCAATCTAATTATTTGCATTTTGTTTGTGAACAATATCAAATTAAGATTGTGAACAAATTGAATATTCTGAAGTGTCATTGATCTTAGCCAGGTTTACTTTCGATTCCTGTAAATAATGTAAATAACTTTGTTAATTGATTTAAGTAAGATTATTTATTGACAAAATCTTTGTTTGTTACTCAGTGTTTTTTCTTTTTTTGAAAAGTATAATTTTTTATAAATGGAACCGATTATTTTTGAAGAAAAAAAACTCATATTTTCTGAAAGCAACCTTTTACCAATTTTCTTATGATAACTACTTTTATCCTCCTACAATAAAATGGAAAACTGGTAAAGAATATCAGTGCTCCTTCAAGAGAACCTTGTATCTCAGTTTAAATTCTGATTCATTCAGGGAAAAAAAGAGGTCAAGAACAAAGTTAACAACTTTTTTAAGTACATAAGTATGCACTGCATTTAAGAATGAACTGAGCCGTCAGGAGTAATCCCAAAATCATAAAGAAATGTGCTTGGACAGGTCAACTTCTTTATTCATATTTGCTACACTTACGTTACTCTCAGCACCTCGAAGTGACTTGCAAAAAGAAACCTCAACAGGGCGGGCCCATATTTTTCAGAAGAATTTGGGATCTGAGGATGGAAAATGAGCATAATGCTTTTCAGTCAATTAAGAAATATGTATTTAAATTATAAAAATCAACAATTAGATGCAGCATGAGTTGCAATGCGTAATGACCTCAATGCACAAGGAGAAAAGACTTTAAGACATTCACAAGAGGGACAGGAAACAATGAAAATTTTAGTAACAGCATACGAGTTTTCTACTCAATCATCATGGCTAGTACAAAACAAATAATATTTTGCCCAAAAAATAATATTTCTCTCTTCATTAGAAATGAATATTTAGGTATAGAGTTATAAAAGGATCGAACCAATTTAGCTGCAATGATTCATTTCTCAATCCTGTTAAGCAATTTTCATTTGTCAATTACTTACATGTGTACTCACTACTTTTGAAGATAAAACATGTCTACCTTCAAGACTTTTTCAATTAATTGAGACAATTATAACCACGACTTTGGAATTCCAACTCAATTGGCAGGTTCACAAGTTCAATTGGGCTTAATATGATTTTCAACCTCATCTGTCAAATTTATTTTTGACAATTGGGTTGCATTTGACAGAAATCAACGCAATTGCCGTGTTCTCAAGATTATGCATCTTCATCTGTTTCTTTAAAAAAATAATGCCTTGAGTTGCAAATAGTTTTCTGTTTCCTACCCAAAAAATGTTATAATTTCAGAAGAAAAAGACTGTGTGAATAACACTGTACATAAATTATTGTGTATTTTTAAACCAAAGAAAAAATTGTACAGATAGGTACGAAAATACTGTGGTTGCGTTAGTTTCCCACTGCTAGATGCAATCCAACTAGCTGGCTGAGAAATACATGAACCCTGGTAGCAATAGTGGCTCTTACAAAAAATTCTACAAAAAGTTGTCAAAAAAATGTAAAAAACTTGTAAATTGTAAGTAAAATTTTTTTAAATACTCGTTTTAGGGAGCCCTTTGGGGGAATTTGTTTAAATAAAAAAATAGTGTTATTTTAATTAAAAGAAAACGTAGAATTTACATAAAAAACAACAAACTACTTGGATCCTTAATTTTGATGGGCTGCAACTTTTCCTTTTATACTTTTCTATTCAACAGTTTTTTTCCCCTCATTTTTGCTCACAGGTAGTTTATAAAAAAAATCGTAAAATTTACTTAGAATTCACCTGAAAAAATTTATTTAAAATTTTACTTCAACTTCATTTAAAAAAAAAGCCTCGAAAAAAGTTTCCTGATACGAAATATTTAAAGAATTTTTTAACGTACCTAATTTTCGAGTGGTTTTGAAGTAAACTTTGAATTCTCTTAAAATTTACGAGTTTTTTACCTACAACTTTTCTCAACAGCCACTATCACTATAGGGTTCATTCAATTCTTTGATAAAAATCTGATGTACGTAGTAATAATGTATTACAATAGAAATTAAGTTTTCATACATTTTACGACAATGACTAGAACATACTCAGAAAAAGCTACAAAACTTTAAACCAAAAAATCCTCAAAGACAACTTCATTTTTCAATGGATACAAAAAAAATGGACGAGGATTCTAGGAGAAGGGCATATAGGACATGAATGCATTCATTTTTCCAGTCTGTCTCATCTGGACGAAGATCAATGCTGCCATTCGTCCAGATATCCACTGCTTGGCAAAATGAGCAAATTTAGACTAAGTATATTATGGACCCTTTTCTCAGAACCCTCCTGAGTTATGTACTAATCTTTTCACAGAAAGAAAATTGTGATCATACCTCAGTGAAGAAGAGTAAAATAGGAACTTCATCAGTGAAAGTTTCGAGGATGATAACAGCTAAACTTTGACTTTAAAGGAGAGGTATCAGAAATTTAGGAGTCATTTGACATTTTTTAAATTTGAGAAATTTGTCTCCTTAAGTAGCACTAATCTCAGGGTATACATAATAAATAAAAACACCACCGCTCACTTCCTGGAAATGATTTCCAAGCCTCAAAGATTGAAATTCGAGTTCATTTGTACTGTAAGCTTTTCATAAAATGTTTAACTTCAGAGGTGTCTTTCTGGATATCAAAAATTGATGAACTCCTTCAAATAGAATCCCCTACAATTCTACTTGAACCATTCCTGACATGATGATGGATGAGAGGTACCATTTTTCTATCCATTCACTCCTTTGACACTCAGCTCTCCAGTCAGTTCATTCAACAAGAAAGAAATGTTCGAGTCCTCACTCACATCTGGCCACGCGATAGACAATTGGCCAGTGGCTTCATTTAGCGAATATTCACAATCATTGTCTAATGTGAGATCCTCACAGAACACAGCACAATCACTTGCTTCAGCCAATATTTCATTGGGGCGATAATCTGTAGCAGTCTCTGTTTTATTGTTACGCAGTATCTCCCCGGTGTTTTCGTTCAGAATAACATTTGGCAAGGGTGGCTCTTCCAGACAGTCAAAAATTGCGTCGTTATCAAAGAGATCAAAAACAGACAACTGCCCTGTCTGCTCATCCAAAAATGGGCCACCAAGGAAGTTGTTCGGCAATAGGTTGATTTCTCCTGTCCACTCATTCAGCACCGGAATTTCTGGGTTTGAGTTTGACTCATTCATAAAGTCTGCTGGGTCGAAATCCAAAAGCTCATTTTCTTCCTCTTCTTCTTCTGCTGGGTCAAATAGCACAGCATCTTCGTCATACCTTCCTAGAGCGCGGTCGAATTCCAACATTTCCTGCTGTTTAATCGAATCAAGCTCACCAGTGCTTTCATTCAGAATTACAGTGTCATTTGTGAGAGAATAGTTTGTACAGGGGAGGGTATATTCAGAGCATGGAAAATTGGGATACTCATGCACCGGCATCTGAGGTGTCTGGGGGACAAGCTTGATGTAGGTCAGTTCGCCAGTCGTTTCATTAAGAATTAGGGCTCCTGTTGAGTCTGAGTTCAAATTATGATATGTCAGGGTTCCTGCTGTTTCATTGAAAGATAAGGTGCCAGTATTGTTGCAATCTATGTCAGGAAGGGAGATCATTTGCGACACTGACTTGTTTTGGTTCTTGCTTTCTGTGCTAATTAAAGAAAAATTGGATCCATTTTGAGTATAAGCTGGAATGCATCCTTGGAGACCAAGACTGAGCTGGGGGCTACTAAAAGAGGGATTTTTCACCGTGAAGTCACTGCATGAGACGCTCACAACTGGGGAAAAATTAGAGCTGCCTGATATACTCGTGCTCAAACAAAAGTTCATATCTAGAGGTTTCTGAGTGAAGCTTTGCTCATCTCTGTTCTGTGATGAAACAACATTCAATGTAAGAGGTGTTCCAGAGCCGTTGGAGCCATCAGCAATACTTGTGCTCAAGCAAAAGCTAACATCGATGGGATTTTGAGAGAACTGCTCGTTTCTAGTTTGTGGCGAAATAACACTGAGGGTTACAGGACTTAAAGGCTTCTCCGGGGCCCTTTCTTCTGTCTGGAGGTCCCATCCTTGCATTCCTTTAATGTTGTGCATTGAAAGCTTGTGTTTTTGAAGATTGTCTGCACGATGTGTCACATAAGTGCACAAGGAACAATGATGAATTGTGCTCAGTGTATTATGGTAAAGGTTCATGTGTCGCTGGAGATTTTTTTTCTGGCTGAAGGTTTTGTCACAGTTAGAGCAGCACAGCCTTGTTTTTTTATGGACAGATAAAATATGATTTTTTAAATTGCCTTTGCGCTTTGTTTTGAAGGAGCAATTCTCATGATTGCATGCAAAAGAGAAATCAGAGTGCATTTTCCTGATGTGATACTTCAAAGCTTGATCAGTGTTAGTAACGAAGTCGCAACTGGAACATTTCTTGTCAGGTAACATATGGGAGTCAAGATGTCGCAGAAAATTGTGCCGCCAACCAAATTCTTTGTTGCAAATTTCACACTTGAAAACAGAGCTTTTCTCATTTTGATCAGATGAGGAAGCAGCAGGCTTTTCTAAATGTTTCTTCAAGTGAGTTAGAAGATCTCCATTGCTGGAATGGTTACTATTGCAGAGGAAACACTTAACATCTTCCTCATGGGTGGCTTCTAGTTTGTGATTGATCAACTCAAAAGGAGAAGAGCCTTCAAATGGGCAGTGGAGACACAAAAGGTTTGCAATCGATTTCCGCTTTTTCGCTGTTTTTACTTTATTCACTGAATTTGTTGAAAATTCCTCTACTTTTGCTGGGTTTTGCAGAGGGCTTGATACAGCAACAATTCCATCTCTTTTAATCAGTTCATCTGAGCTACTGGAATTTATCTTGCCTAAGACTTCAGCTGAAGTTTCTGGAACCACTTCACTCTTGGAACACAGGGAATTATTTTCGCTTAAAATATTTTCAAAATTGAGCCTGACTGCTTTACCTGGCTTTGAGTTTAATGTGGACCTTTCAGAGGAACTGACAGGAGAGAATTTTCTTTTATTCCTTGAATCATTTTGAAGATTATGACTGTGAAAGGTTCCTTCGTTCATTAAAATTTCCTCATTAAGGAGGGATCCATGCACAGGTAGATTTTCAATTTCCAAGAATTTAACGACAAACTGGACGTGTTCAGCATGATTTCGATCCACTTTTATTTGCCCACAGTAAATGAAATCTATGACTTTTTGAATGCACTCCTCACAAAATCTTGAAAGGTTATTCCCTGCTACATTGTTGTCAGGGAATGTCAAAGTACACGGACATTGCGTAGACCACTTTTTTTCAGACCCCTCACTTTTCGAGTAGAAAATTTTTGATATTAATGAACTAAAAGGTGCCAGTACGCAAGCATGAGCCCAAAAAACAGTATCTGCACTTACAATTTTGACATCTGTGAAAAGTCCTTGAGTTCTTTGTTCTCGGAGAAGAGAAAGGATTTTGGTGTCATGATCTGAGATGGCACGTTGAGTGCCCATCCTTTGGCAGCTTTTTCAATCCAAGTTCAAAGATTTTCGCTCTGTAAAAACAAAAATAAATTTTCAAAGTCTGCAGATTGATCAAAGGTTTTGTACTTACTTGTTGAACCATTGCCTACAAGAACAGAGAGGCCGTAACTATGATTCTGTGACATCACGTTAGTTTATGAAACTCGGCCGCGATTTAACATGTGTTCTTGTGGGAGAATGTATGACACATGTTTTTTTGGTGCTAATATCTTTATAGGGGTTGATCTGATGCAAAAATTCATGAGAACCTTTTTGAAGGAAGATAAAATTTCACATCCAAAAATCGCCTAGTTCATAAATTACATTGTCTGATAATTGAGGAAATAAGAGCTGAACAAGACTAAATACCAAAAATCGTTACCCCACTAAGATTCAAACGCACCGCTCATCCAACTTCGGCTGATCGACGGCAACCCTGATTGGTTAAGGTGATTCGATGGACGCCATATTTTGAGTCAGAACAGCATGCGATATATGGCATCCATTGGTTCCATTTTTTCAGCTACTTGTCATTTTTCTCCAATTTTGAGATCGCAATTTTGTTGTCAGGTACTCAGCACTCACCAAATTTAACAAAGAAATTCAACGTAATAAAGGCGTGGTTTTTATACGGAGAAAATATCGCATTCAAGTGCAGTTTCAGTATCAGTATCGAATGCGATGTTTTCTCTCTAAAAAAACCACGCCTTTATTACGTTGAATTTCTTTGTTAAAATTGGCGAGTGCTCAAGTCTCCTGACAACAGAATTGCGATCTCAAAATTGGAGAAAAATGACGAGTAGCTGACAAAATGGAACCAATGAATGCGATATATCGCATGCCGTTCTGACACAAAATATGGCGTCCATCAAATCACCTTAACACAGCGAATACTCTACTAGTTTGACGTCACGAAACCCGAGTAGTTACGGCCTCTCCATTCTCGTAGGTAACAGTTGAACGCCTCAGAAAAGTGATGGACGTATCGAGATAGTTAAGAGTGCAATTTTAAAAATGACTAAGTTATGAGGAGATAATGAGGAGGTCCTTTTATAATTATAGTTTGCTGAGCTAATTGGCATATCCAGCAGAAATCTAAGTAAATCCTCATGAGATCAGACTGCCCAACAAGTCCAGAAAATAAAGGAGGTTATTATTTGGTGATTCAGTGAATATTATGGAGCGAAAAATTAAAAAAAGACACTTACGTGTTTCGCTCGAATTTTGGTGTGAGGAATTACAATCCAGTTTAACGAAGGCATTATGTAGTACTAAGTCATCTCCATTGGATTCAATGTTGTGTAGTTCAAACGCTATGACATTACGATTATAGAAAGAAAAGAAAGTCATTGACACCAAAGTGAAGTTACAAGAAGTTTAAGAGACTCTAATAAATCATCGATAATCACTTTTGCTGGTATATCATGATGAAGGAGTGGGAAAATTTATTTTACAATGCTTCGCCGCGGTTTGAGGTTTTATTATTATTGTTTTTTGTTTTTGTTTTTTTTATTTGTTTCGTTTTCAAGGTTATGTTATGTTTGCAACACGTCAAGTATGGGTATGGGCAGGGACGAGTTCTATAGGACGCCGTTCTGTTGTGAGCGGGTGATTGCAGCGCATTCTCGCGTAGGATCCTAGTCAACTCAGAGGATCCTTCCCCCCGAACCTCGACTCATCCATCGCCCGCTCCAAAAGTGAGGTTAAGCCGGAGATTGAAAAATAACACATAAGGCGGCTGAATTCTTAAAAAATAAGTATATTTTTGGCGTTTTTCGACCCCTTTCGACAAGGAAGGGCCCGCCGCACGTATTAATAGGATGAAAAATTCGATTTTTCGCAGTTATACGCGATCCTACGGATTTTAGTGAAGTCCAACAACTGATAACAGCAGTGAGTTGCGAGGATCCTACGCGCGATAGCAGCACTAGTACCTGCTCACGAATTTTTACATTGACTCTTACGGGAGTCCAGGGTCCTATAGAACTGGTCCCTGGTATGGGAGGGAAACAAAAAATTGTGTTTGAATGATTTTGTAAAAAGCCTAAGACCTGGCAAAATTGCATCGTATTTAAAAACTGGATAAAAATAGTTGAAATTCATCCTCAATTCAAAGAATTTTGAGTCAAGTGAGATTTTTAGTCAGTAAAATAAAATGATACTGAAGCTGCCGATTTGATAACTTTCGTTTATGCAGTGCTGAAAAAGCGGCTCAACCTGCTTACAGTTATTGGCGCGAAAAAAGTAGAAGGAAGCGCAGCATTTGAATTCACGCGTTTCGTTTTCGCTTTGACCATGGTTTTGAACTATTTTGTCCAAAAAATGTCTGACTGTTTTCCTTCTGAGCAAGAAAATGAGAATGAAAAATGAATTGGGAGATGAATGAAAAGGGAGGTGAGCAACGAAAACTAAGGGCTGAGCAAAGGTGAACAAATGATTCTGCGTCGTTTAAGATCATTTTCAGGTCAATAGGACAAAGTGGGGGTGCTAAGATCAATGACCTCTCTGAAAGTTCGATTTTTGGGGAGTGCATGCCTCCGCAAAAAAAAATGAAAGCGATTTTCGAGGTGAGCATATAATGAGCAATGATGAGCAAAACAGAAAATTAAAAATTTTAAAAGTCGGGGTTCTAACTTCACGGATACGCGAAACCACGTATCTCCATTGCGGTGTTTCAAAATTTCCGTTCTTATTTCATCTCTTCCATGAGAAACAATCCAAATTTACGACAGTAAATTTTGGACCAAATCATCTGCTATCGAATGCGAAAAATCATGGAGACTTTAAGTTTTATGTTGACCAGCTTCTCAAAAGAAAAATAAAATTTCTAAGGAAGTCTCCAACGTCGCAAAAGGAGAAACGTCGTCTCTCATTTTGCCCAAAAATATGTATGTATAAAATTGAAGGCATTAAGACTGGCCTCTCTCAACTTATATAATCGTATGTAACGATAAACAATGGGACGCGTTTGCTACGGCGCCTTGATACAACTATACAACCTCGACGGATGTCCGTATTGCGTTCAAAAAATTGAAGGCGTTTTGACTCCCTGCTCAAGTGCTCATACTACCTGTAGTTGATTCGATCGACAGACGCGTTGGTCGGCGGTGACGGGGACTTGATGCAACTATTTAAGCTTGATGGATGTCCGTATCGCACCGACTGAGATGCGAAACCACGTATCTCCATTGCGGTGTTTCAAAATTTCCGTTCTTATTTTATCTCTTCAATGAGAAACAATCCAAATTTACGACAATAAATTTTGAACCAAATCTTCTGCTATCGAATTCGGAAAAATATGGAGAATTTAAGTTTATTATGTTGACCAGCTTCTCGAAAGAAAAATAAAATTTCTAAGGATGTCTGCAACGTCGCAAATGGAGAAACGTCTTCTCTCATTTTGCCCAAAAATATGTATGCATAAAATTGAAGGCATTATGACTTTCCTCTCTCAACTTATTTTACCCTTGTTTCCGCATTTCTTGTGTTTTTTATTGTCGTTTCGGTTTCGGGCTGCTTTTACGTTCTCTTTGTTTTCCAGTATTCAGATTGTTTGACAAATCCTACGCACGCCTGACTCTATACTTACTTAAAATATTGTTGGAATGGCACTGACTCTCAGACAATTCATCAATCGTAATTTTTCTACAGTCTTCTCTAGAGTTAGACTATAGTTACCAGATTTTGCTGAAACATAGCATCATTCCCATAAGATTCAATGTTAAAAAGCTGATTTTTCAGAGCAATTTAGCAACCATGAGTCGGGCGTGCCTTCTCGGTTGGACTTCATTTTGCAATTCGGAACTATAAATTGTGGCTCTTCTGGAAAAAACACTTATGTGCATAAGGAGACTAATGGCACATACGTTGTTTTTAAACCGGACTAGGATTTATAGTTCCAAATTGCAAAATGTAGTCCAGTGGGTGAGGGTGCGCGAGTGTGTTTGTGCGCCAGGTGTCCCTTTGTCGAGCCGCGGAATGTTGCATCTGATCAATGAGTGCGAGAGAGATGGACGATTCCGAGGCGGCTTGGCAAAGCCGAGTGGTCTCCTTTGACGTGCCGCATCTGCCCAATGAGTGCGAGAGAGAGAGACGACAAAACAGCGTATCGACCAATCCAAGATGAGCCCTGCTCCCCGTTTACGGCCGTTCTTTCCCGGGCTCACGCTCGGAAAGCACTTGGGTGCTTTTGCCGGCAACGGAATTCCCCAGCGCACTACCACCGCGGACCAAATTACGAGGCCCAGCCTGTATTTTTGCGAGTGTGTGTGTGCGCCAGGTGTCCCTTTGACGAGCCGCGGAATGTTGCATCTGATCAATGAGTGCGAGAGAGATGGACGATTCCGAGGCGGCTTGGCAAAGCCGAGTGGTCTCCTTTGACGTGCCGCATCTGCCCAATGAGTGCGAGAGAGAGAGACGACAAAACAGCGTATCGACCAATCCAAGATGAGCCCTGCTCCCCGTTTACGGCCGTTCTTTCCCGGGCTCACGCTCGGAAAGCACTTGGGTGCTTTTGCCGGCAACGGAATTCCCCAGCGCACTACCACCGCGGACCAAATTACGAGGCCCAGCCTGTATTTTTGCGAGTGTGTGTGTGCGCCAGGTGTCCCTTTGACGAGCCGCGGAATGTTGCATCTGATCAATGAGTGCGAGAGAGATGGACGATTCCGAGGCGGCTTGGCAAAGCCGAGTGGTCTCCTTTGACGTGCCGCATCTGCCCAATGAGTGCGAGAGAGAGAGACGACAAAACAGCGTATCGACCAATCCAAGATGAGCCCTGCTCCCCGTTTACGGCCGTTCTTTCCCGGGCTCACGCTCGGAAAGCACTTGGGTGCTTTTGCCGGCAACGGAATTCCCCAGCGCACTACCACCGCGGACCAAATTACGAGGCCCAGCCTGTATTTTTGCGAGTGTGTGTGTGCGCCAGGTGTCCCTTTGACGAGCCGCGGAATGTTGCATCTGATCAATGAGTGCGAGAGAGATGGACGATTCCGAGGCGGCTTGGCAAAGCCGAGTGGTCTCCTTTGACGTGCCGCATCTGCCCAATGAGTGCGAGAGAGAGAGACGACAAAACAGCGTATCGACCAATCCAAGATGAGCCCTGCTCCCCGTTTACGGCCGTTCTTTCCCGGGCTCACGCTCGGAAAGCACTTGGGTGCTTTTGCCGGCAACGGAATTCCCCAGCGCACTACCACCGCGGACCAAATTACGAGGCCCAGCCTGTATTTTTGCGAGTGTGTGTGTGCGCCAGGTGTCCCTTTGACGAGCCGCGGAATGTTGCATCTGATCAATGAGTGCGAGAGAGATGGACGATTCCGAGGCGGCTTGGCAAAGCCGAGTGGTCTCCTTTGACGTGCCGCATCTGCCCAATGAGTGCGAGAGAGAGAGACGACAAAACAGCGTATCGACCAATCCAAGATGAGCCCTGCTCCCCGTTTACGGCCGTTCTTTCCCGGGCTCACGCTCGGAAAGCACTTGGGTGCTTTTGCCGGCAACGGAATTCCCCAGCGCACTACCACCGCGGACCAAATTACGAGGCCCAGCCTGTATTTTTGCGAGTGTGTGTGTGCGCCAGGTGTCCCTTTGACGAGCCGCGGAATGTTGCATCTGATCAATGAGTGCGAGAGAGATGGACGATTCCGAGGCGGCTTGGCAAAGCCGAGTGGTCTCCTTTGACGTGCCGCATCTGCCCAATGAGTGCGAGAGAGAGAGACGACAAAACAGCGTATCGACCAATCCAAGATGAGCCCTGCTCCCCGTTTACGGCCGTTCTTTCCCGGGCTCACGCTCGGAAAGCACTTGGGTGCTTTTGCCGGCAACGGAATTCCCCAGCGCACTACCACCGCGGACCAAATTACGAGGCCCAGCCTGTATTTTTGCGAGTGTGTGTGTGCGCCAGGTGTCCCTTTGACGAGCCGCGGAATGTTGCATCTGATCAATGAGTGCGAGAGAGATGGACGATTCCGAGGCGGCTTGGCAAAGCCGAGTGGTCTCCTTTGACGTGCCGCATCTGCCCAATGAGTGCGAGAGAGAGAGACGACAAAACAGCGTATCGACCAATCCAAGATGAGCCCTGCTCCCCGTTTACGGCCGTTCTTTCCCGGGCTCACGCTCGGAAAGCACTTGGGTGCTTTTGCCGGCAACGGAATTCCCCAGCGCACTACCACCGCGGACCAAATTACGAGGCCCAGCCTGTATTTTTGCGAGTGTGTGTGTGCGCCAGGTGTCCCTTTGACGAGCCGCGGAATGTTGCATCTGATCAATGAGTGCGAGAGAGATGGACGATTCCGAGGCGGCTTGGCAAAGCCGAGTGGTCTCCTTTGACGTGCCGCATCTGCCCAATGAGTGCGAGAGAGAGAGACGACAAAACAGCGTATCGACCAATCCAAGATGAGCCCTGCTCCCCGTTTACGGCCGTTCTTTCCCGGGCTCACGCTCGGAAAGCACTTGGGTGCTTTTGCCAGCAA